ATTTCATTGGTTGTTGGTTGTGTTTCACATTACCGATAAGGTTCTATATGTTTATGATTATATGGTCTCTTCATGAAATCACAACCTTGTTGAATATGTTGTCAACAAGTTTGCTGTTATGACCCCCCCTCTACTTGTCATGCATCGGCTTCTATGGCAAGCATCCAGACATCAACTACAAGAGCACAAAGGCATACATTGAAAAAGGTGTTACTGACCATCTTGACATTCAGTGGTTGGTCGGTGAGATACCCCAGCAAAAAGAGGGATCACTGTATGAAAAAATCATTTTTCTTTTATCTATTTAACAGATTTTATTTTACAATGAATGTTAAATCTTTTCCTCTATTTTTTTTTTGTAGTGATTGTGGTGTATACGTGGCTGTATTTGCAGAATATGTCATCATTGGAGAGCTAGTAGTTTCAAATGAAGACCTTTCTGATATTGATCAACATCGTAGACGTTGTGGAGCGCTACTTTGGGATGATACTAGGAAGAAGCAAGATACTGGTGCAATTGGTGAGAGCGAGGTGACTGGCATATTAGAATAGGAAACATCTATTATTTATTTTTTTGGTTGAAAGTTGTTAGTACTTGATATCGTTATTGTTAGCATATAATTTCTTTACAACTTAACAACAATTATGTATTATACATAAAAAAAAATACATAATCCAATCAAGTTATGAAAGGCTGAAATGAATACACTTAGTAATTAAACAAAATAAATACAAACCAATTGTATTAAGAACTGAAAACATTTCATTATAGGAGACAGTCTTTATTCAATTTATCAACACAATTACACCTCAATTATAATTCTCCAGTTAACCTCAACATAATTTATCAAAAAATCTTGTGACTTTATCAAATTTTATTTTCTCTTAGAAGCATTCTTACAAGATCTTTTGTTATGCTCTTCTAGTCCGCAGTTTTCACATGAAACCTTGTACTTCTTTGCATTTACTTCATCATATGGTTTGTATATTTGTTTTTGAGGTCTTCCTGACTGTCTTTTCCCAGTAGGTGGCATTACAATTTCTTCGGCTATACGTTGTGGCACATTCTATTTGCTTTCGTCAGGCAACGGGTCTACAGGTATTTCATAAGTATGAAAAAGGCTCCCCCTTGTGTAATAAGGAGAATAATAGTTTTCATAAGACTCATTCCTGTGCCTCAAAGTCGCCAAAACATGTGCACAAGGAAGTTCATCAAGCTGGAATTGTCCACAACTACATCTCTTATTTTAAAGACAAATAATAAAGCGCTTCACACCATCTATCACTGTATGGATATGATATGTTGAAGCCCTCACCTACAATTTTATTACAAACACACAACAAGTTGTCAGAAACATATACAAAATAACTATAATTATACAACATTTTATCTACAATTAATAGTATATATTTAGTTTGATGGAATCATTGATTTGATGTTATTGGATATAGCTTACTCTTATCTCCTGCGATAATGTCATGTTGTCATACAACTCTTTGTTGAATTTGTTCCCAAGGTATGTGAATGTACCCTTTGCTTTCAATAACTTTTCATTAGTCCCAACGGCCAAGAAGAGTCCTCATGTACTCTAATAGTTCTACTATGGGCAGCTCTCTTACATCTTTTGTTACCACATCCAATGACTCTGCAATGTTTGATATCATCGTCCACGTTATGTTCACCGTAGCATGTACCCGAGACCATTTGTGATAGCAAATATCGTATAGGTATGCTTTAACACGCGTGTCGATCTATTCAATCTTTGGCATTCTTTCATTAAATTCATCAAGCGTATATGATCGTGTCGTGGCAAAGTACAATTCGCTTAACTTTAGATGACCTTTCTTGAACTTTGACCTTATATTTGTCCAAATATGCCACATGCAAGCATAATGTGGCATGCCGATATAAACAATAGATGTTGCCTTCAAGATACTCTCATTTCGATCCGAAACAACACACATATTTGGGTTTTCACCATATGCGTGTTTGAATTGCTCAAAAAATCACTTCCATGATGCGTCATTTTTTGGATTAACAACAGCGTTTGGCAGTGGTAATATGCTACCTATCACAGGTGGTAAAAATAAATTCAATTTCCATAATAAAACTGGAGATAAAAAAAAAAATACATACTAAAAAATAAATTTATAACAATATTTCTACAATTAATCTACAATACTTGTTGCATCCATTGTGCTAGTTGTTAACATTATTCCTATATATGTCGACTTCAAGAAGGTCCCATCAACTACTACAACTGGCCTACAATACTCCCAACCATTGATGGACGTACTAAGCATAACAAATGCGTACAAGAAACAGTCATCGTCAGTCTTCTGCAATTTAACTACCGACCCCAGATAAGTCTTCTCCAGAATATACAAATAACTTGGCAAGCGACTGTAGCAATCAGCAGGATGACCTCTCAAAAATTCCAAAGCCTTTTCCTTTGCTCTCCAAGCTTGCATGTATGTTAAATTCACACCGTGCTCCGGCAACATAGAAGTTTGTATGTCTTTTGGTGTGTAAATTGTCTTAGGATTCACATATTTTGGTATAACCATGCTACCAACTACCGTGGCAGTAGGTTTGCATTGTATGTATGTATGTATTGTCCATCAAAGAGCATGTGTGCAAGCTGTTGAATTTTCGAATCTTGAACAATGCTGAATCATTTATGCTGGTGGACTTGAAGTGCCATGTACAATTGTCCCTAGCACATACCAGGCAGTAGCTACAGAATAAAAATAATTTAAAGAATGTTATGAAAAATGTAATTACAAAATAATAGGCTGTTTAAGCATAAAAATCTTAAATTTAACAATTTATATACAAAAAAACTACAAAATATATACAATTTGTATACAATGATATTACAAACTATACAAAAAAATACAAAAAAACTACAAATTAAGCAAAAAATATGATGTTGACAATTGAACTATTCCTACCTTCTTGCGCTAGACTTTTTCACCCTAAATTGGAACTTGTTCATGACAGAATAGTGCTTCATTGCACTGGTAATTGTTTGTTTGTTTTTGTAGACTTGGCCTACTTCAATAACATTTGGCGTATGTTCTGTTATGATGATACTTTCATATTCCATTATCGCCGGAGATGTTGGCATATCAATCAACTTCAGTGTTCCAGATGAACCTGCACTCAATTAAAGCTAACTACAGTTCAGACATACATTGTAGATAATTTGTAGTAAAATTGTAGAACACGTAAAATTCAATACTTCAATATTCATAACAGCTGAACTACACTTGTTATGTAGTATTTTTGTAGCTATATTGTAAAAATATTGTAGAACACATGAAATATAAAAAAATATCACCACTGAAATAACAGAGCAAACCTACAATTGTGTTCGAATTAAAGATATTGCATTCCAAATCGAAATCACGTATTGTTATACATAGTGGATACATTCCTAAGCTTTTGTTTTCCTTTTTTGTCTCTATGTATACTCGAACTCCCATATCGTTTCGAATTTCCATTTGAGGACAATATTCGTTGACAATGTATTTGATTTCGATGATTTTTTCTGATGTATCGATCATTAGATGCTCTGCGATTGCATAATTCAATTGACTATAATTTGAATCATCGCTCACTACAATTCCGTTAACATTAAAATTTTTGTATCTCCCAAAGCTATCCCAATTACCATTTAGCTGAAGCATAATAGATATTTTTGACATTATATTGCGAAATTCAATACAATTGTAGATAATTATTTGCAATTTTTTTTCTTCAAAACCTTCGCTTATGGTTGTGAAACCAGAGGAGACAGAGAAAACTAGAGTATCGACGATGATAAACTGAGAAAATCGGCGTAATAGCAAGCTTATTTCAATTGCGATGATTGTGTCGCAAAATTCTCGGAAGAATCCTACGCGATCCCAAAATCCCGCGCCTAAAAAAGGAAGGCTATTGCAAAAAGGATTCTAGTTTAAATAAACGTATATAATTTGTAGACAAAACGTGTTTAGGCCGGGTAATTAAGTAAACATGGACATTTTTGGTAATAAAGTTTCATATAGTGTATAGGAATGAAAAAATCCCAATGTGAAAATAGCACGGGCTAGTCAGTTTTTGGACTGGTAATCGATAAATAGCCAACAATTACAAAGTTATTAGAAATAGCCACTATAGCGGAGATAAAATCTGGACAAAAATACCCTAGCTAAAACACGGAAAAGTTATAACATAATATGTTGGATTATGAAGCTCGTGCCTATAAACTTTCAATATATTATGTTGGAACTTAAACACATTGTCCTGGAATCTCATATCTAAGAAATTCGAACTACAACATATTATGCTGGATTCTTTTCGGATTTAAGGGCATTTTTGTTTTAATTTTATCTGTACATGAAAAAGTGATTATATTTCGATAACTCTTGAAACTGTGGCTATTTTCAATTACCAATTGTATATCAGACTATTTCTGATTTTTTTTCAAATAAAATTGATTGCTCGGTCGAAGTGTGTGTGTGTATATATATANGAACAACTAATAATATACATCGACTTAAAATGTCATATTCATAGCCTGTTTGACCAAGCTTTTTTTTGGGCAAAAAATTGAGATGTTTGGCCAAGCTTTTAGATGGAAAAAGTGCTTTTGAGGAGAAGTAGAAGTAGTTTTTGAAAAGTAGAAAAAATAGCTTATCTCCAAAAGCACTTTTCTGAGAAGTACTTTTGAGAAAAATACACTTAGAAGCATCTTTCAAAAGTTTGGCCAAACATTAATTATTGCTCTAAAGTATTTTTTAAATTAATTAGCCAAACACAAAATGTTTTTTACCAAAAATACTTTTTTGAAAAGTAATTTTGAGAAAAATACTTTTTAAAATAAGCTGATTTTAGATGATTGGGCAAACAGGCTATCAGTCCAACTTGTCAATTTGTTGTTCTCGTATTTTACACACACATGCACACACAAAAAAAAAAAAAAAAAAAAAAAAAAAAAAAAAAAAAAAAAAGAAGAAGGAAAGAGAGGAATGGATGATAATTTCGTAAAAAACTGAGATCTCCTTAATCGAGAGGGCTTAGCTGGAAATCCTAAAACCCGTCTAAAACCCTAACTTCCAAACCTCCAAATACAATTATTTCCTCTAACTATAGCAAATTGGGGTACCAAAAACAACAAATTGAAGAATGGACGCAATAGCAGCAGCTGAAGAGAGGATAGTTTCAGAAAGATTAAGGCAAAAACTCAACGACGTCAACACAGCTGCCCAAACCCAACTCGCTGGCATTCAAGACCATGTTAATTTCACCCTTCAGGTTCTGCAATATAATTTGTACCAGGGGGGCCCAACAGTGTTTGGGGGCCTAAAAGCCAAACTTAAATGATGGACCCTAATTTTTTCGGTATTAAAAAATTCATTTGTTACCATCGGGCCGCCCCTGATTTGTACATATACACACACAATTGAGTTGACTCATTTGTTAAATATTGTATGTTAATCTGTTCTCTTTTTTTTTTTCTCCAATGGGAATGTGCAGCAAGCTTACTACAAATGTGCTTACGAATGCTTTGATAGGAGAAAGAGGCAAGAGGAAATAGGGCACTGTGTGGAGCATTGTAGTGTTCATGTGCACAATGCTCAGAATCTTGTTCAGAATGAAATGGCCAAGTTTCAGGTAAAGTTTATTTCTTTATTCTTGCTGTCTTAATTTCAGCTCATACCTAAACAATGAAAAGTGCTGCTTGTTACTATGTTGTTTTTGGGCTTTAGTAGGTCATACTTGTCGTTCCGTTATCAAAAATACCAAGGTGGAAAAGGGATATAATTGTGTAGTAGCGCTTTGTGTGAAAATTATTCTTCTTGGTGTAAATTTTTATGGAGGAAATAGTTTTCAGTAGAAAAGATTTTATCTTGGGAAATCATTTTTGAATTTTTCGTTAGGTATAACATCGGTGATTTGTGATGTTAAGGATAGGCAGTGAGAATAGTATGTCGGTGATATTGTTTAGTATTAAAGATTGAGAAAATGTCCATATGACGGTTTAAGAAAGTGAGATGAAGTAAAAGTTGTAATATTTGAGGGGCTCCTGCTTCTAAGAGAAGAAAGTTGTTTCCCCCCTTTTTCAGGACCTTCCCTTTCCTTTGACTAACGGGTCCTCAAATCTTTATGATTTCGTGCCGAACCTGGTCTCCATCTTCGAACTTCTCGTTCGATGAGACCCCAGGTCTCGCTTTTTTCCGTTTTCTAGGTCACGCCTTATGAAGGCTGCATTAATGATAAAGATCTCTAGGGAAACCGCTAAAAAAAGATTGAACATGTGGGAGGATCCGAACGAATTCTGCTTTCATTTCCCCCGTATGGAGCACTGAGTTACTTACGTTACGGTCTTCAGCAGGCAGGCTGCACTCTAGGCGGCTAGGAAGGCTCGCTAGACCAGCAGCCAGACCAAGAATGAATGTGTAATGATGGTGATTCCACACCAGGCTCAATAAAAAATTGAATGTAGAAAGGGGATCCTAAACTAAAAAGGAGTCCATGACNGTAAACATATTTTCCTAATAAATTATTTCCTAGTAAGAGTCTTGAAAATGATGTCATCATGGGGTATATTTTCCATCCTACCAAACTCAACCCTATGAAGAAGATAGATTTATTTTATGTTCATTCATGCCTAGCCATTATTTTTCCATCATACAAACTCAACATGTTGTTGCCCCTCTGGAGTAGACTATTAGTTTATGTTCATTCATGCCTAGACATTTTTTGGGGTTTATTTACTGCAACTTAGAGATGAAATATCCTCAAGCTAGTTGTGACCACATTCTTTGTTTTTGTGCGTTGCTTAAAGTAATTTTGTCATCATAGTGGAAATGCTTTAGAAGTGTACGAATGCCACGTTGGGGGATGCACAGATTGTTAGAGGAAAAAGCTTAAAAGTTGGCTAAGGAGGGGAATTATTTTTGCTTGGTATTCTGTTCAGTGTTTAGATGACGGCCAGGGCCTAGAATTGTGCTTTCTTTATATTTGGAATGATTTATTTAGGTTGTCATTGCGGTTGATTTAATTTTGGCTAAAAGCTTTTTAGAACAGAGAAGAAGCCGGGAGCTGAAAAAATGATTATAGAAGGAAAGAAAAGAATGGGAAGGAATGAAGTAGATGGATGGTCATTAGAGACAAAGGAGGGACAGTCTAGTGACTAAGCTCCTCCACCTCTAGCCATAAGATTGAGGATTCGAGTCACCAGGGCGTAAAGTGGGAAGGGCCACATTTAGGCTCCTATATAGGGGGTGAAGTTTACCATATAAAACAAAAGGTAGATGGATGGTCATGGCGTTGGAATCTTGCCTTACAGTTTACATATAGGGTTGGTCTTATAGGATAGAGCGATATTCAGTTCTCTTCTTCCCCTTTTCTTTTTTAGGTGGACTTGTCTGTTTGTTTTGACGTGTGCTTGGGCTCGTATGAAGAATTGAAGCTGGTGTTATGTCCCTACTGCATTTGTAAAAGAGTGCTTAGATTCATCTTAGATTCAGCTGTGCGTGTAGTAAATAATGTTCTTCTTCTACTTATCTAAAGTTAAAATAAACAAAAGATGGAAGAAAGAAGAAATCAAGCAGCTAGCTTCTGGTTTCTTTTTCCTAAGGGGGGAGGGTGAGTTTCCCGCCTCCCATGATGGACTTCAGTGTTATGTTAAATCTGAACTCTGCATTTCTGTGTGAAGGTGTAGTTGGTCTTTTTTCATCAATTACTCAGTGAATTATTTGAAGAATTTACTCATAAACTGAAGCTTTGGCTTGTGCTTCTTTGAATTTTCCATTCAGAAGCTCATGCTATCATTTACTCCCTATTGGTGGAGTGGGATGCTCCTTCCCTAGTGCTCATGCACATGTTTTGGTATGTAGAAGTAATAATACGACGAGTGCAAGATGGTGGTCTCGCGGGCTCGTAATGATGTAACCTTTAATGTTTACAAGGTTATTGATGCTATTCTCTACCTTCTCTATACCAAGGAAATACCAAGTTGGTCATATTAAATGATTGGTTGAATAGGTACGTCGCATACGGCGTATCCAATATAACTAGAAAATCTTCTAAAAGCGGGGGTTAGAGTGGGTGGGGAACCTGAATTAGTTAAAAAGTTCACTGATTTAATTGAAAGGTTTATATTCTTCTTCTCTTGTCAACTGTTAAATTGCCCGAAGAGAGTTTCTGCTATGAAGTTTGAAGATAAAGATTCCAGAGTAAAATTAGCTCTGAGGATTAAAATCAATTCATTCTCATCCGATGATTTTGATGTTCTTGTAAGATTAAGGGGCTGCTGAAGCTTGTGAATGCCACTATCGTACTTGCATGACTAGTTTGAGTTGAATGGCTAACTTGTCTACATTTCGTTTCTGAGTTGGATGACTGAATAGATGGTCCAGTCCTAGTTTTGGATTCTCTCATCATTTATTTTTCAGATTAACTTTCCTGCCTTGGGCTAGACATCTTTTCTCCCCTCCCCCTGTTTCCTTCCATCCTACACTAAAGCTGAGACCTGGGGTGGGAGGTGGGTGGGGGGTTTGTTACTTGCTGTATAATCTGAATTTGTTGTTTTCTTTAGTTCACTGAAGAAGTTGTGATATTTGGAGACAGATTTGGAGCCATTACAAAAACTAGCATCCCATAATAAAGTAATAGGTGATACCAATTAGTTCAGAATATGCTTTAGTCATGTTAGTATGTTTACTTTAAGGTTCATGCTTTGTAGGAGTCTTTTAGTCCTACAAAATATTTATGTGCTCTACTGCTCTCTGGTATTTTTATATTTATTTTTACTTTGTATTATTTTGGCATGAGATAAGCTTAAAGGAGCACCATTGTTAGTGAGGATTCATATTGTCGAACCCAACTATTTGGTCGAGCATTTATTAAGTGTTCCTGAATGAAATTTTTTGTGTAACAGGAAAGAATGAACAGGTCTCTAATGGTCTGCCAAGACAAGTATGAGACAGCCAAACTTCAGAAGAACAGAAGTGATGCAACAAAGGATTTGGAATCATGTGTTGACCAGTCGGTTCATGATAGCATCAACACATTGCCACATCTGGTTGCAAGATTAAAAGGTTCTCTTGGCATCAACAATTAAAATATTGTGGCATCACCATGCAGTTGAAGATATTGTTGGGGTGGGGGGTTGAATTCTGAATTATTAGTTTTCAGAAATGGTATTCTGAGATGAAAAACTATCAATATTATTCAATTTTGCAGACTATAACATGGAGTGTTTCTCCATTTGATTCTATGACTTGAAAAATGACTTGCCAAAATGTGATACTCATTTCTGAGACAAATCCTTTGGGCCGTTTAGTAGGTGGAATTAGCCCTCCTAATCAGAGCGTTAAAATTTAACGTGCATTTTCTAGGCTTGTTATATCCAGATTAAACTATAGATCATGTTTCTCTTCAAAACTGAGGCAATCTTATTTAATCTTTGTTATTCTTGTGTGTCAATTGCGTCAAGTGTTTTCATTTATTTGTATTAATTACACTCTAAGCCCAGTCAAATTAGCTCGCATAAAATGAGAAAATTAAAAAGATAATATTTGATCTTATTTTGATGCAGTTTTTTAATAATTTGATCCCCAAATATACGAGCAATGACTTAACACGACTTGCTTTTGAAAGATGAATTTCAGAATTTGTTTATACCTACTCACTAGTCACATCTGAGCGTATTATGAAATGCAGAGAACTGAACACTAAAATGAATAAAAATTATGTAACACCATTAATCTATTTTTTTTAGGATGACAAAATCCTGAGAACTAGTGGTTGTTTAAAACTCGTTGGATAGTGGACTTCTCTCTATCATTGACTTGTCTCTCTATCATTTTTCACTTAAATATCAGGATGCAAAAGAGTTCGAACTCATAGCATGCCTTAAACAACATGTGCACATCACATGTTCACTCTTAGTACTAGGATACCAAAGCCCTGGGGCATTCATTAGTCCATTTGTTGTTAACTGTTCTGAAAGAAAACAACATATTAAAGGACAAAAGAGCTGTACGACAGAGCTAGGTTCAGTTACAAAAACACAATATTGCTACTTCAGACTGCCTACTTCTCTTGCATTTAACATATTGCTATGTCGAATGTAATTAACCAGGGCCATTGCTACACAAAAATTGGGTTCAAATCCCCCTCGGTTCCCATTCCAAAGAAAAGAAAATTGGTATCCTTATGATAGGGAAATAAAATATACATGCTGAATGTAGTCTGAAGATGACGAAATTTGAGACAGAAAATTTATCTCAACGTGAAAGCTTAAAAAGAAATACAGTGTCTTGATATCTTTACAGCAAAGTATATATATTCGGAAAGCATGAGAAACAGGAGAAGTTATTCAACAAGCATGACGTCCTGTTTTACTGTTTTACAATCATCCAACACTTCTTCCTAATTGCTTAATTACCTTCATATGGGACACAATCAGGGCTTGGGTGCCAAATTTGCTTCAGACTCACTGTTGTGTTTTGCCTCTTCAAACTTATCAATGGCTACCTGAAGTTCATCTGAGCCTCCAACAGCTCTCATAGTATAGTAATACACACCAAAAACAAATGCTGACAAACCTCCGGCCATAACCAGATTCTTAGTCTTGGGGGCAAGGGTGCCGTATCCTGGAAATCCAGCCATCTTCTCAGAAGGAATTAACCTACACTTGTTTTTTTGCTTTCCCCCCTGCAATAAGATGCAGAAAAGCGCTGACATGGGAATGTTTGAAAATTCAAGATATCTGGTGAGATAAAAATAGAAATCACGTCCATGACAAATGTGAGGAAGGCTTCCTTCATTCTCCTTTCTTGGTTTATGAACCACGTTATAAGTAAATTGCATAATTAAAGAATCAAGCTGACCTCAGAAGTCATAGACTATTGTATTCAAGTAAGCAAGCCCTTTTTGTTTAAAAATATAAAAATGAAAATTTCATGACATACCCTTCCCTCCGCTTCAACACCTATGTAGCTATCACAAATGAAAACAATTTGGCACTCTTAAAATTTTAATAACTAAGCCAAGGTCTAAAAAAACTAAACTTGAACTCAAGCTGGAGGTAACTCCAATGGGACATAGTAATTTACTGTGTTTTCTCTATAACATTTGTCCACTCGATGTTTTCCTCCATACTTGGAGCACAAATTCATACGTAAGATGCCCAGCTGGATCACTAATTCGTCGATGGACAACTTCTAGAAAGGATCTCCCTCGAAAGGAATAATGCTTATATCAACATATGCAAAGATGTTCCAATAATACATGACAACTGCCATCAAATAATTAAAAATCAAGGGAGAGAACAGATTGTGTAGTCTCTCTTTTATCCATCAGCAGGTATCGACCTTCAATTCCTCCTCATCAGATACCCAAAGGAAATCATGAGCCACAAAGAAACACACAAATAAATAGCTCGGGCAAGTACTTGCCTTAATTAACATTTTTTATCTATAAAATACACAAGCACTTCCGATCTCTAGTTAGGTATTGCAACCGAACCTTAGTCTAGCTTATAGGCAACAATATCGATTCACAATCAAAGTATCGCATTAATACTAAGATAATTCAATGTTAAGTAAACAAAAACCAATCATAGATTACCCCATATCTAATTTTTCTTTTCTCCATAATTTCGATTAAGATTTTACATAGCACAAGCAGCTTGTAACTAAAAAGGAAAAAATATACAAGAAAAAAGATAAGTGAATAGTATCTCGTTATTAAGGGAACAGACGATTTCAATGAAAGAAGCAAAATTAAATTAAATAAAAAAAGAAAATAAATGAGAAATTGGAGATGAACCTGGAAATCTTGATGAAGAATTTACCTCAAGATTGTCTAAAACCCTAAAAATGTTCAACTATTTTGGCAGTAGACATAAACCTCTTCCCTTGTGGGCCGGGTCAACTGGGCCGGTCTTGCCATGTATCAATCCGATCCACGTGTTATTGACAGAGCGTGGCCAATTTTGTGGCCTTGTATTCACAAGTTGGCCATTTCTTTTTTCCAAATTAGATTCCAAGTGGCCACATTCAAAAGTAGACCAGAGGTTATCTATGTTGTTGGATCTAGCTAAAAAGATGACCTCAATAGTTGATCCATTTTATGCATTCTTATATTTAATAACAAAGTAACTTTAAAATGCCTACTAGATGATTTATAACCACACAAATATATATAATTTGTTGAAAAATTAACCCAAATAACCGCCCATCTAATCTCTTAAACTATAAATAGCCGGCGGATGTATAGTATATATACAGTTCATGTATAATATATGCATAACTATGTATAATCAATGTATATCGGCTAGAAAAATAAACATTGAATCTGAAGCTATTTGTATAACAGTCCCTGTCAAAAGTTTTTATTTATTTCTTAAACCCTGTCTCCAATCAAACATTATCACATAAATTAGGACGAAGGGAGTATAAATTTTCCACAAGATGAGACTTTTTATTTGGTTTAGCTAGAGTTTCATGTATTCGCCTTTTAGTGATTTAGCAGACTGAAGACACTACAATAAATTTGACCTAAAATCATACTATTAATTTTAGATAACGCTTGGAAAATATTGGCAAAAGTACTTGTGACAACGTTTTTAAAGGGTGGACTTTGTTGAGAGCTTCCGACTATTGAGTTTTTTTTTTCTCCTGGCTAGAGTTAATAATTACAATCCATTTGAAATTATTTGTTGATTATTGATAATCTCGGGTATTTATCATGCTTACCGGTCATCTTATCATTTGATATTATTTGTTAATTATTCAACATAGCAATTAAAGTTTGTCATTGCTTGTTGCTCAGGCGCGGAGGTCCAGCTTTTCCTGCATCCACCACAACAGATGAGGCACCTTCTCTCGCGGTCAGTGCAGCATTGGCACGCAACGCACCACCTCAACCATGCCCCTATTCAATCCTCCTCTCTGATTCTTTCGGAAAAATGACACTGAATAGTCGCTGTAAAAATAATAGTCGAAAAAATGTATAAAACTTGTATATTTTTTTTGTGTATATATACATTTTGTATGCTATATACAAAAATTATACAAATTTTATACACTTTTTCGACTAGCAGATGTAAATAGTTTCTGGCGCGGGCTAAAAGTTATAATACCCATTCTTTTGTTGTCCTCTTTTACGTCCACTAGTCTTCTCATCACCACGAGGGCTTTTTCTCCACCACTTTGGATAACCTATAAGTTGAAAATAATTTTTGGGTACATGCCATATGTGATATGCGCTTGCAATAAGAGCACACCGTGTTTTTATTACGACTTATGTAGGGAGATATGCCTTGTACAACAAAGGTCATTGCTTTACCCCACTCGTCTATGCCTCAAGCCATCGTAGCTCGTCTTGCACTAGCTTCGAGTAAATTCTGTTTAGTGTCGGCACAAGGGTCTTGAGTGAGCAAGTTTGATCTCACTGTCCCATATATGATCTCGTCCAATCCCACGAGGAAAAGATGCACCTTCTTATCTTCCTTCTTCTCCAAAATAACACCAAGATTGCAAGTGCACTTGCCCCACGTACAAGTCGGAATCTGATCGAAGTTCGTAAGTTCTTCCGACAATTTTGTTAGTTTTTCATAATAATTAACTATGACCATGCCCTTCTGTTTACAATCCACAAGTTCAGCCTTCAATTGTTGTATCCTTGAACCATTAGAGACCGCAAAATGCTCTCTAATACTCGCCCATAGGTCTTCGGCCACCTCAATATGAGGTATGGTCAAACGCAAAGTGGGTTCAATTGTGTTTGGAATTCTAAACACAAACAACGAGTTGATGATCCCGCCAATCTTCAAGATCTGGATACTGTTCATTAGGTCTCTTGATCGCCCCGTCTATAAAATCAAACTTCTTCCTTGCCCTCCAGACTGTCCTCGTGAACCTAGCTCATTCATCAGAATTTATTGAATATGTGTTATCAGTATCTCAGGATTATCATTATATGTTATATCATATGGAGAGATCTTCTTCCTTTGTCATTGCCGCTATCTTTTTCATAATCTCTGACCATCTTTATATTAATCGCGCTCTGATATCATGCCAAAATTTAGACCAAGTGTCGGACAGAGAAAAAGGGATTGATGTCAAGGATATATACAAGTTGTCCAACCCTAAGGAGTCTTAAAAATATGATAAAAGTAAATATGATAAGACTTAACGCAAGAGATCCTAATATAATACAAACGTTAAATTTACCATATTTACAAATATTACACGCCTAATAATATCCTAGACCTCAAATTACGAATGTTCTA